TAACTTCTTGCAAAGGAGCTGTTGCCTTTCTTATAGAGCTGCTGCTCAAGCGTGTTCAGAAGCGCTTCGTGCTCTTCAGGTGAATAACAGAACTGCATTCCTGTCAAAATCAGATTAGCGTTTCAGCTGTGCACTGAACTGCATCATCGTGCAATTCTTTCTGCCCTACTTTGGAGACGTGCTCGTACACGCTCACATCAGCGGTTGATATTTTCTGCCACGCTGCAGGAAAATATACCTACGCAGACCTCACGTTATGCTGCTCAGAAAGGACACAGACAGCAGCATGGGGCACCAACAACAGTAAGCATCACCTTTAAAAAGCAACCAGACCAAAAAAAAATAAAACACACACACACAGCTGAAACATCAACCCATTGCAATTTGTACCAGGAGATCACCACCTATTAAACATCAGCTCTGATAGCACATCCTACTGAGGCTATTAAAAAAATAAAAGCAAGCTGGTTTGCCTCCATGTATTTGCAAGGCATGCTGAACATTTTGGCTGCCCTGACAAACTTTATCCGATAATGGCTTTTGGATCGGTTATTCTTGGCCCCCCACGCAGAAACATTCACAGTGCTTACACTGGATATTTTGCATGCAGCACCATCTTAACTGACCTCTTTCACATGCCTGACATATTTCAGACGTTAGGCTAGATAATAAAACCACATACCGGATATCAGCAAGTGTTAATAAGACATAATTCATTCCTGGCAAGGCCAGGACTCAGATCTTAAAAAAACAAAAACAAAACACACACGCAGGTTCACAGGGCCAAAGTCCAAAACAAGTTCAAATGCACTGGGCTACTTTCATCTTTTCGAGCGCTGTATAATTAACAGCGCTATTTGGAAGAGAGCGGACTCCCCTAGAACCATAGGTAATAAAATTCAGATTTAAAGGAGGCGGCAAGCAATCAAATGAGAACTCATCATTTGCACATCGAGAACATGAGGTTTCGCGGCGCTCCGTAAGATCCTTCCAGTTCCCGCGGATGGCCGACCCCAGGAGCGTCTCACTTGACTTCACCCCACCGCGGGTTTCCTGTCCAAAAGGAGGGCCAACGCACTCCCTGCATCTCTGACTGCCGGCCAGAAACGCAGCAGCGGCTCCGAGCACTCCAAGACAGATCATTCTGATTATCACAAAATGAAATTTTCAGCTCTTGTCATCATCGGCCTCAGATTTGTAATGTTACAAAAACATGATTTCCTCTCCCCATTGTATCAACCCCTACTCCATTCCCGCTGGTGAAATCAAACAATTTTAAAAGAATTTATATGATGCTAATTTAAACCGAATGTATTCAGCTGCCAATCGCAGTTCCCCAACTCTCCCAGGCCTTCTGCCAGCTCAGCTCGCTTCCAGAACGGCTATCAATCACCAGCAACAGGCTGAGCAAAAAGAGCCAGCGATGCAAGAAGTGATGCTGGCAGCGCTGGCAGAGGGAGTGCTGCCCTTCGCTTTCCTTGAAGCGATGCAAAGTGACCCGGTGCAATCGGAGACTCACAGAGCTTTAGGCCTTAATCACTTCTGATCGTTCAAGTGGCCTGTGACGCTTTTTACAGGACTAAGTTTGGCACCTGGGTCAAATTGCAGTATCGTTTCCAGCTCCGCATTAGCGCCTGGATGTGGCAAACAACTTGCTTTCCAAGCTGCCCTGCACCAACAGTACTTATTTGCTGTTAGAAAACTGACAAATCCTACCTCAAAGGTAACTGCATTTCCACAAATGATGAAGAAAATCCCCTTTATAGTTTGCAGCTTGCTCTCACAAACTAGCAGAAAACTCTAATTTGGGGGAGATTGAAGATGTTTGCCAAGAAATGACACAGTAAAGTATACTAAAAACATCTAGCTGTTGGCTTCTTTATAAATCTTGTTTTGATGCTCCTTCGCAACAGCCTAGTTCTGTCTGTATTTCGTTAGCATCTACGTGGAAGAAAAAAAAAAACACCTTTTCCACTTAAGTATTTTTCTGCGGAAGACGTTCAGATACTCAAGCTCTGATATACCCATAATAGAGATGTTGGCAACATTAACAAGCAACAAAAAATTAAAAAAAAAAATCACCACAATCCAGAGACGATTCAATTTAGAAATCTTTCAGGTCCAAAATGGTTGTAAATGAGCAGAAGAGAGTGAAAGAGCAAGAATGGGTAAAGCAGTCAGGGGCGGGGGGGCGGGAGGAGAAGGAATGGAGAACCCAACTACGGTTAGGTCAAAGCAGTGACCATATTGGTGGTTCAGATAGTATCTAAAGTTGAAGAACAAATAATGAATTTAACGGAAGCCCAAAACATTAGTAGTTGAAATCAATACTGAGGAGCAAAGGTTAAGAGTACAGAAAGAGTCTAATGTCCAAAAACAGAGAGGGAAAGAAAAAGGGTAAGAGATGCTACAGAAGAGTAAGGAGAAAGGAAAACACACTCTTTGGAGAGATGCATACTGGCTCACACCAAGAGCTTAGATAGCACACTATTGCAAAACCAAAGATAAATTCCAACCAAGGCGGCAAGAACAGGGCAAGAAAAATACGGTACTGTGTCCAAGCCTGATTTGACAACAGCGAGAAGCTGGGAGAAGACACTTCCTGAACCTAGCACAGACTGTGCCCTCAGTAACCTGCTGGGAATCTCTTGGAAGTCCTTGTCCAGTCTGTCCTCGAAACCATGCAAAATTTTGCATTTACAGTATCCTTTGACAAGGAGTTCCATGGGTTTATCATCCACATACAAAGTGAAAAAAATACTTTTTTTTCCTTTTTTCCTTCCTTTTTTTTTTTTTTTTTTTTTGCTTATTTCAAGCTTGGCTCCTGCTGGTTTCATTTGATGGCCCCTAGTTCTTTTACTGGAATAGGGAAGGAGTAGCCAGTCCCTGCCGAACTCTCCAAGACCTCTCATGAGGATGCACGTTGCAAGTTGGGCAAGGAGGAAGAAGGGTCAGAAACGGCGAGAAAAACACCAAGACAGAGTTCATGGCAGGGACAATCCCAGTAGAAGCAATTGCAACTTTTCTAGCTTTGCTGGATGGTAAAAGGCCAGCCTTCATTAGCACAAGAGACAGAAAAACCACCAAGCTTCAAGTATGGTGCAAGCTCTCCCCAGAGAGTAGACAGGAGGGAGGGAGGGAGGGAACTGAAGAACAGAAAGAAACGTTCAAGTGCTCCAAGAATTCAAAGGGGACAGAAAGTGCCAAGCTATAAAGTATCTGGATCAAAAGACAGCAGCAAGGGAAGCATGGAAATACCTATCGGAGACGAGGGGGGAGATTTTCTCAGAATTGGTCTGCCTAAGCAGCCACAGAAACCTGGCTGAATTTGCACATCTGCGACCTCCCTCGTCCCAGATTCTCTCTGCAATCAGCACATGATGCTATTAGGTTTAAATAATCAGTCTCGCCCTCCCAATGTCATGACAACACAACTGGAAAATAAAACAAGAGGACACAACATCTGCATCTTCTTATGTCTCTATAATTGGTAAATACCCTTAACGGGATATAACTTGTTTAAAAACTTGTTTAAAGAGCAGCAAATTCATTGCACTAATTGGGCATCAAAAGATGAAATAAACTTATTCCTTTCAATCCACAGAGCCACAGGAACCTAAGAATAAATCTTTTTAAAAGTTCAGCTGCTATAACGAACAAAAGAAAGAGCTTTTTGTAAACAACTGGTGTTCTAGAGACTGTTGTATCAGGTAACTTCAGAACAATTACAGCACTGGAAATACATAGGCAAAACATACGGAGGAGGAATCTTTCCAGACATAGCCACGATCTTGACGTCCTATTGGAGGTGTCATCACATGCATAGTGGCAATGTTTTCTGCAGATTCAGAGAAACTAACCTGATTTAATGCAACAACTCTTAGAGGCTAACAAACATCATAGGATAGCCTATCAAACATCATAGCAAACAAAAGTCATAGGATGACATCTGTTCATAGCTCTGTTACACAACATAAGGTTTTGTTTGTTTCCTTAAAATACAAGAAAGAGGTTGAGAAGACAATAAAGCAGCAGATATACTGTAAATGAAATCAGTTAACAGAAATCCTCAAGTTAGACCACTTAATAGAAAGGATGGTGTTTATAATACAGAAAAGTGAACTTGCCTGTACCTCTAACCACATAGACAGCACGATTTCACATTTTGTGAAAGGTTATGGCAAAAGCCCTTCCCATAAGTCAACAAGTCCAATCAGTCAATCACTACCAAAGGAAGCGGTTTACTGCTCAGGAGATGCAACGTTTCATTACCAGCAAATCTGAATTTCATCAAAGTAGAAAAGCTCTCCTAACCAACGGTATGAGCAATACTCTCCTGCTGTAATATGAAAAACTGTATTGAAATTCAAAACTAGAATATTAAAGAAGAGTAGAAAAAAAGCAATTCCATTTTAATACATGCATGGGTATGTACAATTAATCAGGATCATCTTTTAAAGACATGAACTGCTAGGCAAATATAAGTTAGCCACAATAAAAGTGTACCTATTATTTGAAAATTAGTTCAAGATGAAAAAACTGAATTATGCTTAAGAGATGTACTCTTATTGCTTTACCCTGAACCTAGGAAATCAACACTGATGTGTCTAGGTCTTCCAGTTTTTACCAGGCACAGCAGCACAAACGCCCCCGCTCCGCTAGGCGGAAAACCTGAGCTACGCACCCCAGCCACACGTCCCACACTCTGCGTATCAAGAATTCATGGCAAAGTACAGGCAGGGGAAGAGGAGGACAAAAACGCATTATCACTTTTCAACAGTATTTAAAAAACGGAAAATAAAGTCTAGTAGCAGTCCCAGAAGAGAGAATCTTTCTGCTTCACCAAGCAACACAATTACTTCAACATTTAAAATAAACTTATGTTGAAGCCTTCACTGCCCTAGTACAGGAAAAGTACAGCTTATTTAACATGACTGTGAAACGCCTTTCTCTTTCCAAAAAGCAACCCCCGCTACCACGCGTGCACCCCGAGGCCCTACCTGTTTCATTGCTGTCTCTCCAATCTTGTCAGAGTGCTTACGGATGCTCTCCAGGAAATCCTTGAGGTCTGACATGGAAACTTCTTTTATTTCTTCGCGCAGTTTGGGAATATTATCCACCATGATCTTGCAGAAGCGGTAATGACTCACTTGGGGCAGGTACGTGTGCTCCAGGTGCTCCAGCGTCTTCAGCGCGGGGTAGTGTCTGGGGAAAGCAAGCGAGGCAGATGCAGAAGAACCAACAGCTATTTCCTTTCCACTTCCCCTCCAAAGCATGCATTAACAGTAAATAACTCAATGTTCCTAAAGATCTCAGCTCTGTACCAAGGAACGCAGAGCTTACTGTCCAGGTAGCCATAAGAGAGCATCATTTGCCTTTTGAGCCTGGCAAACTGAAGCAGGTAAAGGCTGAAGCAGCAGTTCAGAGAAGCAGCTACTCTTTTCTCTGAGCTTTCTTGCACAGACGAGCAGCAGCTGGGTAACAAGTCACCCCCCATCGGCTGAGCTGCAGTTACTGTGCCCATTATCTGTGCTTGCTTTACTGCACCAGGCTTCAGCGCACAATAATTTGAGGCACCATATTATATGGTGGAAGAAAAGTCGGCAACCCCACACAGTGCCATGAGTCTTTGGAGATGTGATAAAAAGCTCATCTGCACACCCACCGAGGAGCACAGGCAGGGACCCAGGCTAACACCTGGCCTTGGCTCCTCTCGGGGCTGTTGCAGGAGGGGGGGGGTGTACGTGTGTGTGTGTACACGCGTGTGTACACACGTGTGTGTACACGCGTGTACATGCCAGCTCCTGCAGCCAGGCCCCCAGCCACAAACGATGCTATAAGGGAAAAGACCAGTTTCAACTCAGTTTTCTAAACTTTCCCTTAAACGGAGATAATTAAATATAACCACCTTGACCAAAGTACATTGATATCATCTCCCTTAGGAAGTGGGGATTTTCCAGTAAAGGGAAAACAAAACAGGAAGCAGCTGATGAAGCTTAAGAGAAAGAAAAACTAAGTCAGGCCCACACCGATGCCCCTTCCTTGGGCCCGCCGGCGTACGAGGGAAGGACCTGCCGCATCCATCCGCTCTGGCTAGTCCTGTGCCCCCGCCTGCCACCTCTCCCCCGCCGACCAGCCCGAGCCCATCGCTCCTCCCGGACGTCCTCCCTCCTTTCCCGGCGGGAAGCGGTCGGTTTGCAACGTTTGCCTGTTCACGGCAGTAGGGAGCCTTTCCGAAAGGAAGTCGGGCGCTCTAGGCGACGCGGGATGCCCTGACGGCACGCGGCGGGGGCGGAAAGATGGTAAAGACGAGCTGAGCTTTTCCACTTCCGCGACGGCTTTCCTGAACAAGTCTCGAGCAAGCGGCGCGTGCCAAGAGACCGTACGGATTTGACGGAAGGAGAATAAAACTATCAGGGAACCATCTAGGAAGCATTAGCAGGGTCTACAGGAACACGTTTATGACTAACACCAGGTCACAGCCTCCTCTAGGGCGAATTAAGGCAACTGTAGCTCAGGCGACGCTGGCAGGAAACGGATATGGCATTCTTCAAAGAAACACCAGGGAGAAGGACTGAAGGAGGCAGACTAGAGCCACGGTTAACCCTGCCGCAGTCACCTGCCGGCTACACCCCGAACCTGGGCGGCTGAAGGAAACGTTTAGGCCTAAGAAACGTGTCACTGAAAAAGCCTGGCACTCAAATCCCCACTCGAGGTAATTCTTGCCCGAAGAATTACCCGCACGCGGAAGTTGTTTTAACCAGAAGAAGCCTGGCCTGTTAGGAACACCAAAAGTCCAACGGCTTAATCCTGTAACCCGCTCACTGTTTACGCTGCAGCGAGGTATGAGAAAGCTGTTTGCAAGAAAACGCAATCCCCTCTGGAGAGGGGCTTCAAGAGTGCACAGAAAGCCAGAAATTAAACCAGAGGAATAAACACACATCGGGGCTTTGTTATATTTTAGGACGTGGTTTGTTGAACTAGAAGAAGCTAAAACGTCGCCTGCGGGGACAGGGCGCG